TACCCACCCGCCCGCAAGCCGTCTAGCTCACTCCCGCCCGCCCTCCCAACACATACGTAACACCCGAGCCTGAGCATGTTCAGCGGTCGTCTTTGGATGGACACTGGGAACCAAAGCCGACCCCAGGTGCGCGACGCTTGGGCGAGGTGAGCCACGCGTGCCAGGTGCGCCACCTGCGCCAGGCACCCCTCGGGCCCGAGAGCCAAGCACGCCTGGTGCGCCAGATGCGCCACGTGTTCGGAGTGCGCCAGGTGTGCCGCACACTCCAGCCGCGCCAGGTGCACCACGTGTGGGGCCCGTGCAGAGTGCGTCAGGTGCGCCTGCGCATGTGACAGCACACATCGGGAAACATGCCGGCCCCATAATCCTTGTCGAAAACCAATGCCCATCGTTGTGTCTGGTGGGCCTGCGCACAGCAGTGCCGTGCGCCACTTCCGTAACCATTTCGGCTCAAGTCCGGAGGCCGTGCCACACAGCCGCCCACGCTCATGTCCCGAGGTTGGCGGAGTGAGGCGTGCAGCGGTGCTGCACAGCCCGCCTCGGCACCAGGTGGTGCTGCACAGCCCACCCGGCCTGTTGTGGCCATCGATGCGGGCGACGTCGCGTCCAAGCGGAACGACGACCAGCGGGTTGAACGCAGCAAGATTTACACGGCTGTCGAGGATGGCTTCTGGGCGTTCGTTGTGCTTTTTGCGGCTGAGTACGGCCTGCAAGACATGCATTTCATCAGTCGCACGACGCGGGGCACGTGGTACTCGCACCATGCCCGCCTGGGCAGGGTAGAGGCGTGGGCCGTCAGGCTGATCCGGGGCGCGGGCTTGCTCGAGATGGGGGTGCCTGACGCGAACATCCACTTGACGTCTCAGAAGAGCGGGGGGGATGGTAAGGGTGTTGCTTCTCGGCACTTGCAGCTGACCTACATGATGACAACGATCTCGAGTGCTTGTGGAGCGTCTTCAACGACGGAGTTGGCAACTCGGGCCTGTCGATCAGGCGGAGCAGGGGCCGCGTCGTCCCGTGCGCGCGCGCGTTCGCTTTGTGGACAGCAGGCGGTGGCTTGGCGAAGACGACGACTGGCTGGAGAGGTGCGACCCGTGGTTCCAGGTTTCCGAATACTCAAGCTGGAGCCGCTGGACATCTGGGATGATTCTCTCCGATCGGGCTAGGCAGCCGCCCGTGATGCGGCGGCGCCGCCCGCCATCGCCATCGCGCCCGACGGCTGGCTCGTGGCGCCTCTGGGCGGATGTGCGTGTGCGTAAGTGTGTGTGTGTGTGTGTGTGTGTGTGTGTGTGTGTGTGTGTGTGTGTGTGTGTGTGCGTGTGCGGTTTGGACTGGAGATGTTCGCCCGTGACGTTTCGCGTCGCGTTGTGTGGGCCTCTCTCGTACCAGGCAGGGTTGGGGGGGGGTCCAGGCGCGGGGGAAGGGCGGGCGGGGGGGTGGGGCGAGGATCGCGACGAGGAGGGGCGGGGCGTCGGCTGCGTCAGCGCGATCGTGGGGGAGTCGGCGCGCGTTGCCCGTCGAGTGTGCGTCGGAGATTGTGGTCGACGCGGCGGGGTCCTGTTCATTCTGCCCCCCCTCCCCAGGTTGCCGGGTTGTTCTTTGATTAAGAGCGCTCCAGATCGGGGCAGAACTGTGTCCGAACATGGGGGCCAGGCCAGCCCGGGGCTGTGTTGTTTGCTTTCACGGGCACCAGATCGGGGCAGAATTGTGTCAGGGGGCCAGGGCCGGGCCGGGCTGGGGCGGGCCGTTCGCTACCTAGGCTCTGCCTAGAAGGGTTCTTGCTCTCTTTCTTTAAGAGGGGCCGGACCGCGCGCGCCGCCCCGGGCGGTGCCCCCAGTATCCGCCCCGCGGTTCCCCCAGTCACGTCCCCTTAGCTTAGCGTTGCCTATATCATCGAAGCTTATCCTTGCTTAACTTCGCTTAGCTTAGTTTAGTTTAGCTTAGTTTAGCCTAACTTAGCCTAGATTATATTAGCTTAGTTCAGCTTCGATTCGCCTGGCTTAGCTTAGCGTAGCTTCGCTTAGTTTAGCTTAGCTTAGCCTAGCTTAGCTGAGCTTAGCCTAACCCAGCTTAACTTAGCGCAGCGCAACATCATCATATCAAATCACATCATACCACATCATCTCATATCATACCAATATATCATAACATATCATCGCATAACGCAGCATAACATAGCGCAACATAGCATAGCGTATCATAGTATATATATGCTCTGCTGCCTGCTTCTGCTGCTGCTTCACTTACGGCGTGGCGTCGGCGGTTTTGGCGTTACTATTATTACTGCTACTATTACTCCTACTGTATATATATGCTCTGCTGCCTGCTTCTGCTGCTGCTTCACTTACGGCGTGGCGTCGGCGGTTTTGGCGTTACTATTATTACTGCTACTATTACTCCTACTGCTACTACTACTCTTACTCTACTACTACTACTACTACTACTACTACTACTACTACTACTACTACTACTACTACTACTACTACTACTACTACTACTACTACTACTACCACCACCACCACCACCACCACTACTACTACTACTACTACTACTACTACTACTACTACTACTACTACTACTACTACTACTACTACTACTACTACTACTACTACTACTACTACTACTACTACTACTACTACTACTACTACTACTACTACTACTACTACTACTACTACTACTACTACTACTACTACTAACTACTACTACTACTACTACTACTACTACTACTACTACTACTACTACTACTACTACTACTACTACTACTACTAACTACTACTACTACTACTACTACTACTACTACTACTACTACTACTACTACTACTACTACTACTACTACTACTACTACTACTACTACTACTACTACTACTACTACTAGTACTACTACTACTACTACTACTACTACTAGTACTACTACTACTACTACTACTAGTACGACTACTTCTACTACTACTAGTACTACTACTTCTACTACTACTACGACTACTACGACTACTACTACTACTACTACTACTACTACTACTACTACTACTAGTAGTACTACTACTACTACTACCACTACTACTACTACTACAACAACTACTACTACTACTATTACTACTACTACTACTACTACTACTACTACTACTACTACTATTACTACTACTACTACTACTACGACTACTACTTCTACTACTACTACTACTACTACTACTACTACTACTACTACTACTAGGACTATTGTCACTACTACCGCTACAGCTACAGCTACGACGATGAGGAGAAGGAGGGGGACGGCGTTTACCGCTCCTACTAATGTTGCTTTCCCAAAGGCTCCAACTCCTAGGTAGGGTCGCACTGGGATAATTGTATTTCCCCAATCAGAGCTTGCCTTTGTAGGGGTCCGAGCGGATTCATATGGTTAGGTTCGGTATGCCGCCGATTTTCGACGCACGCCTGGGTGCCGGGGTGCCCGGGGGGGCCCGGGTGCACGGGTGCCCGGGTGCCCAGGTGCTCGGGCTCCCAGGGGTCCCGAGTGTGCCCTATAGCCTTATAGCCCTATAGTTCTATAGCCCTATAGCCCTACAGCCCAATAGCCCTATAGCCCTATAGCCCTACAGCTCTATAGCTCTATAGCCCTATAGCCTTGTAGCTCAATAGCCCTATAGCTGTATAGCCCTCTAGCTCTATAGCCCTATACCCCTATACCCTATAGCCGTATAGCCCTATCGCCCTGTAGCTCTATTGCCCTATAGCCCAATCGCCCTATAGCCCATATAGCCCTATAGCCCTATAGCCCTAAAAAGATTATGATTCCCAATCAGAGCTTGCCTCTGTAGGGGTCCTAGCGGATTCACATGGTTAGGTTAGGTTTGCCGCCGATTTTCGCGGCACGCCCGGGTGCCCGGGTGCCCAGGGGTGCCTGGGTGCCCAGGTGCCTGGGTGCCCGGGCGTGCCCGGGGGTGCCGGGGTGCCCGCCCTATAGCCCTATAGCTCTATAGCCCTAGAGCCTTACAGCCTTAAAGCCCTATAGCCCTATAGCCGTATAGCCCTATAGCCCAATAGTTGTATAACCCTATAGCCCTAATAGCTCCATAGCTTTATACCCTTATAACCCTATAGCCCTATAGCCCTATAGCTCTCTAGCCCTCTAGCCCTACAGCCCTATAGCCCCATAGCCTTGTTATAGCCCTATAGCCCTTTAGCCCCATAGCCCTAAATTATTAAAATTATTATGATTGTTTTTGTTCCTCTGGTATCATTTGTTTTTTCTCCGGTATCATGCTTGTTGTCAGGGATGATAGCCCTGCGCGCAGCAGGGAATATGCTGGCACCCCCGCCGTCCTTAAGACAAACAATGCAAAGTGCTCGCGGGCCTCACGAACATGACTCAAGACTTCGTATTGTTTTTGATAAGGATGGCGGGGGGGGGCGCATCGGGTTGGCCGCGCATGCTCCAAATGTGGAGGCAGAGTGCAGCTTGTATTGTTTTTGACATGGATGATAGGGGGCGGGTCGTCATGTTGTCATCATGGTTCCCGATTGGACGCCGGTCGCCTGGGGGAGGGGGTGTATATTAAGAAGGAACAGTGATACACCCGTCCCCGAAGGGGAAGAAGGGGGTTGGAAGAGGAACCTCATTAGACCACTTACGCCAAGAGGGCTGGTGGGACTCAACAGTTCGGCCTGGCTTGAGCCAAAATGGCTTGAACCATGGTTCTCAGGCGCTGACCAGCGGCCCGAAATGTACCTCCCTGCACCTCTGGAACGGGGGACCTCCTGATCATGCTGCATCTGGCATCTGGCCGTGTCCGCCAGACAGCTCCGCCTTTTTCCGTCTGGCGCCTTGTCTCGCGCTGGCGTGTGAATTGCGCCTCCCGCGTCGTTGACAAAAACAAGAGACTGCCCAAACGAGCCCCGAAAGGACGCCTGCATGCCACTCGGAAGCTTCTCGGGATGCTATCTTGAATGCAAGCTGTATGAGTCAAGTGGTACCCAAGTGTGTTGAGGGAGTATTGCTTTTACTCCCTTGCGCTCTTGAGCCAAAACGTTTCCGGTCAGTCTCTCTGCCGATCGGCCGTGCTGCATGCAATGCTACACCCAACTGCTATCCCACTTCATGGGATTGATGCTGCTGCATGCAATGCTACACCCAACTGCTATCCCACTTCATGGGATTGATGCTTCTGCTACGCTACATGCTACCTTCCTTCCCGGGGCAGGGGTTTAACCCGAACACCCCTCCTTGGCCGTATCCTGTCTTCGCAGGAAAGGCCAAACTCGGAACCGCTGCCATTCTGGACTCAAACGTCCACGGTCTCAGATCGATTCTGGCAACTAAGCTGCATGCTCTCAGTCGGGCTCGTCGGCCAGCACGGTGCTACCCGCTTCTGGCTCGACCGCTTCTCCGGCAACCCTCAGTGCCTTCGGGTGCCGTCCTGTGGCCTCTCTGAAGTTCATCAACTTCATCAAAGTCTCCTGCACGGTGACGCTGACGGCTTTCGTTCCGATGTCCGCCAGGTTCTCGTCCTTGTGCACCTTCTTGATCCTGAGGTCTCTGCGATTGACGTGGTGTTGTAGCCAGAGCAAGCCCGTGTCGAGATGACGGACCTTGCCCAAGCCCACTCTCGACGCGATGCCCTTGCCTGCCGTGCTGTCGGTGTGGAGGTCAATGGACACCTGTCCCCCCATGTCCCGGATCATCGATCTCATGCCGATGGCGGTAGAGCCGCCCTTGACCTGGGCCACGAACTCCGCCTCGCCAGAACTCAGGGCAGGGGCCGTTTGGGTCGCCACCTGCACTCGCAGGCAATGCTTGCCGTGCATCGTTACCGCACAAGATACACTCTTACGATCCAGATCCTGAGCCCAGTCGCTGTCGGCGTACACGTCGATCCTGCCCGGCTGGTCCTGCAAAGGGAACTGCTGGATCCACCGGCCGTGCCCATGTAGGTACCTCAAGCATCTCTTCAAGCGTGCCCAAGACCCAACTGTTGGCTTAGCCATGAACCTCGCCAACCGGTTTGCGCTGAATCCGTACACCGGGACGTCCGCAGCGAGATAAGCTAGCCTCATTGTTGCGGATCGGAATGCTGTCGCCTGCCCTCGGCCTAGGGGCTCCTCGTCGTGCATGTCCTCCAAACGCTTGTCGGCAGGTGTCGTCACGGATTTCGACCGGCCGTCGAATCCAACCAGGCCACGAAGCAGGTCAACATGGCGTGGGTCAGGTTCGAGAGAAACCACCCGGGACGCGTCGTTCAAGTCCACCAGCCTGTTCAGGATGGTAACGTGCTTGTCGTCTGCTGTGCCCCAGCCAAGCTTTGCGCGTCTCTTGAGGATCATCACGCTCCGGAGGCCCTCTTCGAGCCGGTCTAACCACTCATCAGGTCCCTCGAAAACGAGATCGTCTCCGTGGCGCCACCCAGCGCTGTCCTCGGCAGCGCAGTAGTACAGACAAGGTGATGACAGCCCCACCTCGTACTCGCGCCTGACGATCGCTTCGTTGAAGAATTCGTCCCAGGCGTTTGCTGCATCTCGTGTCCCGTACAGGGTGCGCAACAACCTGCCCACGAAGCCTGCCTGAGCGTCCTCTTCTGGCAGCCGGATGTACAGCTCCCGGCGGCACTTCGGATGAAAATGCGCTCGAGAAACGTCCAAAACTAAGATCTTACGCTCTCCTGGGCTTCTGGCCGGTCCCCTCCTGCGCGACTGGAACCGAGACAACAAGTACTTCAACGACTCCAACGGTGGAGTCGCGGCAAATGTGTTCTCCATCGCCGGCGACTTCCACTTGAACTCACGCCCGACGAATCTAGCTCGAACGTCTGGTGCGTTTACGTCCCCTTTGTTGGTTATGGTCCACCTTGTCGAGATGAACTCTTTGCCCTTGGCCATCGCCTCTGGCACCTTCTCATAGACAGGGAAAGTACGAAGGAACTCGATTTCCTTGACTTTGGCTTCCCTGACGTCTCGGGAGTTCAACCGTTCGCCCGTCAGCTCGTCGAAGAACTGCTCGAGCCCGTCTTCGTCCCACTCCTGGGTGTCGTGGCCGGTAATGCCCGGCTCCAGGGCGTTGATGCTGACCGCACCGTCCTGCTGCAGCTGTCTACGCAGCCCTCTCAACACAGCCGCCACTATGGCCGGCTTACTCTCCACCATGGGACTCATGGTCACTATGCTGCTGATGGCATTCTCGCGATCGCCGCCCTGGAGCTTCGTGAGTTCCTCGGCGATGCATCCGGAGTTGGTCAGCCATTCTGCGGCCCTTCCGGCCTTCACATGCTCTCGTGCCCCAGCAGATGGCTACCATCATCCTCTTCCTCTTCCTCCCTCCCCCCCTGCTCGTGGCCAGGGGCGGCACCATTCACGTGCTCGTGCAGGAAATAGTGACCGTCTTGCAACTGCTTGTGGTAAAGATTGCGACTGTCTCGAAAATGCGCACGCCCAATCAGCAGCTTTGGGCGGACAGTGCCCCGGAGGCCTTCCGCCTGCTCCACATGCGTCTGATTCTTAAGATCCCAACCCGTAGTCAGATCTAGTGCGACCCCGGGGTGCACTCCCCACCGGGACGCCTGGTCAGCGAACCGCTTCCTGCAGAACACCTCCGACTCGATCACGTCGACGTCGTCCTTGATAGGCTGCCGGATCGCCTCCTGCAGCCGCGGCCCGATCGCCGCTCCTAGGTGCATCAGCTCGCCCACGATATCCGCGACCTCGCGCCGCGCCCTCTTGGCAGCCCGATCGCGCGGACCACCTGCTGGGTCGTCCCCAGCTCTGACCTCACCTCTCCGCAGTGCGGTGCTACCCGCTTCTGCTCGAAGGGGGTCCTGAGCCTCGCCTGGACTGCGAGCCGGCACGGTGCTACCCGCTTCCGGCGAATCCGGCTGGCTCGGAGCGTCGGCCGGCGCGGTGCTACCCGCTTCCGGCGCGCTCCCTGGCTGCCTCCGAGCGTCGGCCGGCGCGGTGCTACCCGCTTCCGGCACGCTCCCTGGCTGGTCCGACGGCGCGGGGCTACCCGCTTCCGTCGGCACCTCTCTTGCGACTTCACCTGGTCGTAGAACCTGTGCTCCTCCTGGTCGTCTGTCTGGTGGTGCTCCTGCCTCACCCCGTCTACGATGAGCTTCCTCGACTCGCTGTCGAACCTCGGACCTCTCGTCCGCCAAGATCGCCGCCTCGATCCTGTTGCGGCACTCCTGCGTGTGTAATCGTGCTGGTCGGCCTTCAAATGCCGCTGCACATCCAGGACAATTATCTGAGAAACCGTACGCTCGAAGCTCAACCTCACGACGAATGTAGAACCTCCTCGGAATAACTTCCGGAGATCTTGGTTTCGGAACTCGTGGGGGCAACTCCGCCTCAGGGACGATCGGTTCAGTCGCCCGGAGGGGCTCGTAGTCGACGGTTTGGCCTCCTGGTTCTCCCGGTACTGGGTCCCAGGGGACCCCCACGATGGATTTCAAGAGCTCCGGATCGCTGGACTGGATGGCCGGCAACCGCTTCACGCAGTTCACCTTGAAGACGCCGCGGGGCGTGCCTACGAGCAACATGTTGCTGCGCTCCACCAGCCCCAAGTATATGCCGGTCTCCCACCTGTCCTCGAACTTCCGTCGCCGCCGTACCGTTGATACCGGCATGTACATCACGGCCTCCCCGAATGGAGGCAGCTTCCAGCGATAGGGCTTGCCCTTGCGTATCTCGTAGGCGGTCCTGTTGTCCTTGGCGGCACGCTGGGACCTGTTCAATAGTTGCCCTGCGTACTCCACGGCATAGATCCTCAGAGGGTGCTTGAGCGGCACCTGGACGCGATGATGTTCCAAGCATGCGTGCACTAGGGTGCGAGCCGTGCTCTGGACCTCCCAGATAGCACGCTCGACAACAGCATTCTGCTGTGACTCGGACGTGCCGCTCTCTTCCAAGATGACGTCCACAGGGCCAGCAACCTCCCGTAGCTTCTTCACCACCTCCTGCTTGAGCGACTTGATCGCAGGCTCCCCGTCGCTCTTGTACGTAAACTTGGCGAAGCCTGCCTGCATCACGTCGTCCACCGTGGCCTTCACAGCGTACGTCTCTGGGCCCTTGCGTGGGACCACGCGTGCCGATACCCACCGATCGCCGTAGAACTTGTGGACAAGGATTGGCAAGCACTTGTCGGTAGCCTTGTCGCTCTCGACGGCGTCGCCCATGAAACAGTAGTCGCAAGCCACTCCCTGGACGCCAAAATCGTCGGACGTCTTCAGGAAGTGTGGATCCGCCTTTCCCTTACCAGCCACACAGCTACGGCACCAAGCAGCATAGGGCATGTGATCGATCTCATGCTTCGCTCTCTCCTCCGGCGTCGGGAGGTTCGGTGCCATCATCGCCGGTACGCCGCCTCCCCGAGTCCCGAAGATCTCGTGCTCGATGTGCTGCTGCTGCTGCTCCTGCTGCTCGTCCGTCCCATCCTCCTCCATAGGGCTACTACTCGGCTCAGGTGCGGCATTGTTGCCGCCTGCCCCTCCTGAGCCGGACTCCAGGGGACTTACGGACACGCCGGCCCCCCGAAAGGGGGTGACGGCGGCAGCACAACCTCGGCATCGATCTCAAATTTACCTCCTCGACGTGTGATCTCGATCTCCTCCCCGGTCCTGCAGTGCTTGGCGTAGCACCGGCCGCCGCACTTGAAATGCAGGTCGTGGCCGGCGTCCATCATCGAGCACATCGCCAGCAGAGGCTTCCTCACCGGCACAACGTTCACGTTGGCGCTCCTCCTCAAACCTCCTATCCTCAAATCGTACCGTCGTCGTCCAAGATTGGGAAGGCTAGGGGTCTCACGGTCTCCGGGTCCGAAGTACTTGACTCCCCTACGAGATTCTGGACTCTCCTCCGTGGCCACCTGCGGGAAGAGCTCCGGGGGCCACACCGTGACCTCCGCGCCGCTGTCCAGGCCCATCGTGACGTGGTTCGTCGTCGTCTGGGCGTGGACCATGCCGACCTCCTTCTGCTCGGAAACCTGGCACAGCTCCACGCTCCCGCAGTCCTGGTCCTTCAGCGCGCCGATGTTCAGGCTGAGCGCCCGCAGCTGCTCCTCGATCGCAGCGATGTCCACCCTCTGCCTCTTCCTGCTCGGGTCTCTGTCGGTGGACGATCCTGGCGCCTGTCCTCCTGTCCTCTGCGGATCGGCATGGCTCCTCCTCTCGTCTCCTCCTTTGCTATCCTTTCCTTTACCTTTTCCTCCTCGTCCTTTCCCTTTTCCTTCCCTATCCTTACCTTTTCCTCCTCCTCCTCGTCCTTTTCCAGCGCTCGGCGGTGGTGCCTTTTTCTCTGCGTTCCACCAGCAGTCTGCTTTCTTATGGCCAGGCTTGCCACAGCAGAAGCAATCTCCGGCGAACTTGATCTTGAGCTCGCCCTTCACCTGGCCCTTCTGGCTAGTTTTACCGCCGGCTCCCACGGCCAGGACTTCCGCCGAACCGCCGGGGACGAGCCACTGCTTGACTCCGAGGTACTCCTGGATCTCCCTCTTCATCTCGATGAAGGTGTCCACGCGGTACGCGTTGAGAACGAGGTGGTCGCCCAGCTTCTTCTGCAACTCGCTGCCGGCGGCCAGCGCCTTCAGCAGCACGCCGGTCCGGGTGTCGTCGTCGACGGTCTTCTTGGTGGCGGCCTGGTACTGGCGGATCTGCGTCTCGAGCCTGTCGATGCCCTTCCGCGGGTCCTCGTCCTTGTTGAAGGTGAAGTTGAGGTACGCCTGCTGCAGGGCCATCTTGCGAGACGCGAACTTCGGCTCGAACTCCGCCATCAGGAGCCTCCACAGTAGGAGACCTTCTCCGTACTCGACGGTCTCTAGCTTCTCCATCATGTTCTCCTTGAGCAACATGGTCAGGATGAAGTACAACTGTGCGTCCAGCTGGTCGTCGCCCGGGTCCAAGTCCACCCTGTCGAGGCTCTCGTCGAAATTCTCGGCTTTCCGGATGAGCTCCAGCATCCGGCCGGACACCGCTCCGAGGTAGGCCCGCATGGTCACAGACCACCTCCGCCAGTCCGCTTCCTTCCCACTGAACTCGCCTGGCTTGTTGATCAGCTTGGTGTCCACGCTGGTCGGGACCAGCGGGGTAGCTCTCGCACGAGCTGCGGCCTCGCTCTTCTTGGCGTCGTCGGCCTCCTTCTTCCTGGCCTCGTCGTCCTCGTTCTTCTTGAGCTGCTCCTTCAGCTGCGTGTTCTCGTCCTCCAAGCGCTGGAGTCTTTCTAACACTGCTTTGAATTGTTCCTCCATTGTGGAGCTCGTCGAGGTCGTCGTCGATCTCCTTCTTGAGGCGCTTCAGGTTCAAGGCCCTCTGCTCCTCTGTGGTTGGCTGCTCGCCCGCTGCGTGTCGTCGCAGCGCCGAGCCTCGTAGTTGTCGGTTGGACCTCGACTCTGCAGATCGAAGTCTCTGTTTGCCCATGCACAGAGGAGCCCAGCCGAACCTGAGACCACGGAGCTACCCGCTTGTCTCAGATCTGACCAGGCTCCGCTACCATGTTGAGGGAGTATTGCTTTTACTCCCTTGCGCTCTTGAGCCAAAACGTTTCCGGTCAGTCTCTCTGCCGATCGGCCGTGCTGCATGCAATGCTACACCCAACTGCTATCCCACTTCATGGGATTGATGCTGCTGCATGCAATGCTACACCCAACTGCTATCCCACTTCATGGGATTGATGCTTCTGCTACGCTACATGCTACCTTCCTTCCCGGGGCAGGGGTTTAACCCGAACAAAGTGGGTCATATCGCTTGGGTGTGGGTCTGGGGCCCTCTTGGACCGTCTTGGGGGCCTCTTGGGGTCCTCTTGGGACTCTCTTGGGGCTCTCTTGGGGCCCTCCTGGCCCGTTCTAGGGTTCTTCTGGCTCCGGGGCCCATGTGGGAACGCACGGCTGCGCCCAGAAGTGCCCAGGAGCGCCCGGCACCCGAGGCTGCGGGTCCCTTGATTGAAGATTTCTCAGGACTGAGGACGGAGCTCGAAGGACCTCAGGACTTCCAGCTCGCGCCTCATGGCGCAGTTGCGGATAACCACAGCAGCGGGCGTGTGTTGGCCGTGGTGTGCCAGGCTTGTGCTGTGCCTTCCCGTCGGACGCGCGCCTCCTAGCGGGGCGCGCAGAGCCAGTGCATAGATCCTTCTGCGCCTCTGGTGCCGAGCCTCCGCCGTTTTGGCTCGGGTCAGGAGGCGTCGTCTGGGCCATGGACGGGCCGCCGAGCCCGCCGCGCGAGCCGCGGCCTGGCCGCGGCGTCGGCGTCGCCCAGGTGGCTCGCAGGCTGTGCTCCTACGTGGAGTGCCCGATGGTGGCCGTCATGGTGAATCAGGCCGTGGAGGGATGCAGCAGGAGGAGGGCGGGAAGGAGGAGGGGCAAGAGGTGTAGGAGGAGGGTTGGAGGGGCTCACAGGGCGGGAGGAGGAGGAGGAGGTGTGATGGGGCGAGGAGGCATATGGGGGAGGGGGGAAGGGGCCGAACATGCGGAGGCAGATGATGCTGCTAATGATGCGGATGTGGTGATGATGATGCTGATGATGGCGATGATGATGCTGATGATGACTAGGATGCTGATGATGATGATGATGATGATGATGATGATGATGATGATGATGATGATGATGATGCTAATGGTGATGATGATGCTGATGATGATGGTGATGATGCTGATGATGCTGATGATGACAAGAATGATGATGATGCTGCTGGTGCTGGTGCTGGTGCTGGGGCTGGCACTGGTGCTGATGCTGATAGTGATGATGATGCTAATGCTGATGCTGATTCTGCTGATGATGCTGATGCTGATGATGCTGATGCTGATGCTGATGACGACGACGAGGACGATACTGATGCTGATGATGCTGATGATGCTTAGGATAATGCTGATGATGCTGATGCTGATGAGGACGATGCTGCTGACGACGATACTGATGATGATGGTGATGACGACGACGATGCTGTTGATGATGATGATGATGATGGTGATGACGATGATGATGATGATGATGATGAGGAGCATTATTATAACGAGTCTGATAATATCGATGATGATGATGATGATGATGATGATGATGATGATGAAGATGCTGACGCTGATGCTGGTAAGTGCGCTGATGATGACGATGCTGATGATGGACGTGGTGTCGGCGATGATGATGGTGCTGCTGATCATTGCTACAACTCTAGAGATCATGAGAGTCATTCTCATTATGGTGGTGACTATTACTATGATGATGATGGTGATGATGATGATGATGATGATGATGATGATGATCATGCTGACGCTGACGATGATGTCGATTACGATGAGGATGCTGATTTTGAAGGCGATGAGGTTGATTGTGACGATGGCGATATGATGACGATTGTGCCGATGATGATGCTGCTGATGATGATGTCGACGACGATGGCGATGATGATGTTGACGACGTTGACGGCGATGATTGTGATGCTGATGCTGGTGATGTCAATGATTCTGGTGATGTTGGTGATGCTGATGCTGATTGTTATGATGATGCTGATGGTGATGATGATGATGCTGGTAATGGCGATGGTGATGCTGCTGATGTGGGTGTGCGGATGATGATGCTGATGATGACGACGATGGTGATGATGATGGTGACAATACTGGTGACGGCGACGATGATGATGATGATGATGATGATGATGATGATGATGATGATGACGAGGATGACGATGACGATGATGACGACGATGATGATGACGATGATGACGATTATGATGATGATGATGATGACGATGCTGATTCTAATGATGATGATGATGATGGCGATAATGACGATGGTGATTATGATTCTGCTGCTGCCGGTGATGATCATGACGATGGTGCTGCTTCTGATGTTGGACATGATGATGACCATGGTGAAGATGATGATCATGTTGTTGATGCTGCTGCGGATGATGATGGCGATTCTGATGATGATGGTGCTGATCATCTTGGTTATGGTGCATCCGCTGGTGATGATAGTAATGATGCTGCTGATGATGATGATGATGATTATTATGATGAAGATGTTGGTTATGATGATGATGATGATGATGACGATAACGATGATTATGCTGCTGCTGATGCTGACGATGCTGACGATGGCAATGCTGATCATACTGATGATTCTGACGATGAATGATGTTGTTGTTGAGGATAATCATGATGCTGCTGATGATGCTGCTTATGATGACGATGACGATGTTGATGCTCCTGCTGCTGATGATGATGCGACCGATGCTGATGCTGATGATGATGATGATGATGACGATGATGATGATGATGATGATGATGATGATGATGATGATGATGATGATGATGATGATGATGATGATGATGATGATGATGATGATGATGATGATGATGATGCTGATGATGATGATGATGATGATGATGATGATGATGATGATGATGATGATGATGATGATGATGATGATGAGTATGATTATGAAGACGGATCTTGATTCGGATGTCATGCTTTGTTTTCCGCAGCGGGAAGGCGGCACAGCCACATGCATCATGATAGTGATTGTGATTGCATGCAGGGTTTATGGATCGAGCATGAGGCGCAGCCTTTTCTTCTGGTATCCTCTCCACCCACTTCCACCCCTATGAACCCGACCCCTCTGCGCTAGGTTCCTCCTGGCGGGCGTGCACGTTGCAATCGTTTTGAGGGTGGACTCCTAGCGCGGGGTCGTATCATGGCGCATGCAGCTGTGGGACCGTGGACTGGGCCAATCATCGACCCGCTGTACGCGGACCGCGCGCGATGTATGGACCGTCGGGGCCATCGATGATATCGAGCTTTGGCACGATCAGTTCGGGGAGTCTTGCGGGACGGGTGTGATTCAAGTCACGGGATATGGCCCTCGATCGTGGCTTTTCGACGCCCGGGTGCTCGACGTGGAAGACGAGTACTACCATTGGTGGATGTTCGAGAGCAACAAGGCGGAAACCTGGGCTTATTCCCGGCAGCGGCGGGCAAGGGCGACGAAAACGAGGTGATCTTCCAGGGGCGCGAGGTGACTTCGATGTACACGTGGCGCGTCTTGAACGACAGCGGGCTCGACTTCGGACCCCAGCGTCGTCCATTGGCTTTCGGAGGAGCGGCGCAAGGAGATCTTGGGCGAGCTTGGCCGTCCTGCGGCCGCGTTTGGAGACGCAGGAACGGCCGCGGGCGACCCTTGAAACCACGGTGGGCGAGATCGGGCTAGCGGAGACGCTGCTCGGCCAGTTGTTCCTGATGGGGCCCGCACGCCAGCGGGCGGCGTGAAGGGCGGCTTGGAGCGCCTCGCAGCCAGCGCGGGGCGAGGTGGCGCTCTTGCGCCGGCGCGCCGCGACGAGGAGGGGCAGGGGCCTCCTCGGCGTCGCCGTTCTCGTGGGGTCGGCTCGCGGCAGCGCCAGGGCCGTCGTCCGACGGGGAATCGCGACGCGGGCCACCGCTACGCCGACCAGGGTCGCGACGCGCACCGGCGTCGTATGCAGGCTGGGTCCAGGTCGAGGCGTGCTCGCAGCTCATCGTCGTCGTCGTGTTTTCACGGCGCCTTCTCCTCCAAGAGTCGCGATTTCCTGGCGCGGTTCGTCGAGTGGGCGCGGAGGCACCCCGGCGTGTTGTCCAGCAAGGTCCTCCAGGTGATGGCGGACAAGGTGGGCAGGGAGGGGGAGGCGCACGCCTGGGAGAGGTGCGAGACTCCAGCTGCCGCCAAGGCGTGCTACTTGCGCGTCCTGCTGCAGCTGACGGGCGCGGGAATGCGCAACAACTGGGAAGTGGCCACCCTATGCGCGATCCTCGATCATCACGCGCCTGGCTGGACCGCGCTCGCGGCGGACTTCGTGGCGATGAGGCTGAAGGTGTTGGCGATGGCCAGCCAGGATGGCAATTTGGATCGGGCTCGTTTTTTGAGTTGGTCGAGGAGGACGACGCGCCGCTGACGAGCGCAGGTGAGGTTATGATCGCGCAGGTGCTTTCGACGCAGCGGGGGCTCAAAGGCGGGGGCACAGGGGGCGGCCACGACCGCGAGTGGCCGAGATCAGGCAGCGCTTCCGGCAAGCATAACAGAGGCATGGCGACGGACGGGGGGCGCAAGAGAGGCAGGAGCGGCTAGGCCAGCAAGCGTGCGCCACGCTGGCGTCCGCCCACGGGCGGGCGGGCGCCATCGTGGCGCGCGTTTCAAGGTGGGCGCCGGCGCATTGGCCCTATCTGGTGACAGAGCTGGACTCGACCAGAAACTCGCCGAGTGGCAAGCCGCTCTGCGATGCGCGGTTGGGCGCTGCGGCGATTCCCGCGAAGTTCTAGCAGCCTTAGCCTGGCAGTTGCGCATGGCTCATCTCGTTTGGGCGAATTTGGGGCGCGACTGCGCGCTGCTGGAGACCTCGCGGCGTCTGGTGCCGATCCGTCTCCGAGAGAGGTTTATCCGTCATGCTTCGCATCGCCATGCTCCGCCGACGCCTCTGTGCCGCTGTCGGGGCACAGGCCGCCGGAGCTCCCATCCATAAAGTTGGACCTCTCCGAGGGGTTCTGGAGAGACGGCCCCGCGGGGCCCCGTGGCGCGGAAGGTGGTGCCGCCAGCGAGCCGCTCTTGTTCGCCAGAGCCACGCTGCGTGCCTTAAACTTCCTCGCGCGCGCCGGGTGGGCGCCAGTGCCGGTGCGTCTGGGCGTGGCCGCTAGTGTGAGCGATGCGCGCCGCCGCGCCCTCGCGCGCGTTTAAGAGGCGACGGCGGATCTCCGGGTAGCTTCAGCCTTGCCGTTCAGCGCGCCGGGAGTCCGCGAGGAGTTGTGCGACGACAGGGTCGGGTGTGCCAGCGAGGTCGTTTCGAGGCGGTGCGAGCTGATCTGCATCAGTGCCTTGCCTGCGCTGTCGGCCCTGGGCAATGTGTGCATCTTGCCGATCATAGATTGCGTCTCGGAGGAGCTCCAGGGGGGCCTGATCGGCCCGAGCCGGCGCCTCGCGCCCCCGTCCGAGTGGCCCGCGGTCTCTCCGCGCGCGTGGGTCCACGCCGTGGACGACGCGTGGTTCAGTTTGGTGAGCGCGGGCAGCGCTCGCGGGCTGCTGCGCCCGCGGGCGCGGATGGAGTCCCCCGCGACGCCCGCGGCGAGGCGGCGTTGAACGGGGCGATCGGGGGTGGGCGAAGTCATGCGCGTAGTCGGCGTGGGGGCCGAGCTGAGCTGCGCATGATTTGCGTTTTCGCGCCCGTCGACGCACTTCTCTGGCGACTTCGGGGGGGGGGGGGGGGGGCGGGGCGTCTTCCATGTATCGGCCCTTTTGGGCTGGTGGTCTTTGAAGGACGAGGTCTTTTGGGTAGATTCTGAGGATGTGGAGTCATGCTTCAATGTGTTTCACATGCCGGGCGAGTGGTTGGGCATGTTTGCGTTCGCGTAGCAGTTGCCGCTGGGCGTTTTCGGCGGCGACCCGAATGTCGCGACTTACGTGGGACGCAGGCTGCGCCGATGGGCCGGGTCGGCGCCGTCGACGCCGTGCAGTGCGCGGCGCGGGGGCCAGTCTTCCTTTCCGCTGCGGCTTCGCCGCTCTGCGAGTTGCGATCGGACAAGGCGATGCCCTCGGAGGACATCGCCACTGCGTGCATGGGCGGCCGGCCATCTTTCGACGGCGAAGCTCTGCTTGGACGACATGTCAAAGGGCCCTGCAGGAGGCGGCCGCTCCGAGGCCATGGATCGCTTCGCCGCGGTCCGCGGGCTGAAGGCCAGCGTCCTTGGCGGGAAGACGACGGCCCGCGCGGGCGTCTCATGCGCGGCCGGGGCCAATCACTGAAGCTGTGCGTAAAATCGCTCGTCCTGCTCGTGGAGCCCACGTGGTCTGCCGGCGAGGTTCAACGCTGGTGGGGCTTTTTCTGCTTCGCCGCAGGCCTCCGCAGGCCGCTCTTTTCTTTTCTGTGCTGCACGGCGTCTGTCCCTTCGGCGACAGGTTCGGGCCTGCTGGGGCGTTGCTGACTCTGCCTGGTAGCGTGATTGATGAGTTGCCTCTTGGCGGGGCCCTCTTCCCGCTGGCCCTGATGAACCTCCGCGCGAGCGCGTCGAAGGTGGCGAGCGCGTCCGACGCCTCGAAGAGCGTCGGCGGCGCCGCCGAAGCTACCAGCGCTGTCTGCTCCCTGGCGTCGGGGCAGGCGGAGCGCCGAGCGGCGTGGTCTGCGGCGCTAGCGGAGGACCCAATCCTCGGCCAGCCCACGGAGCCCGCGCCCGCGCCCCTCGCGCTGCAGATGCGTGCCCGCGCGCGGGGAGCGGGCAGCCTGCCCGCTCCGTTGCGCGGGGGCGTCCTGCCCCCTCGAGCGCTGGCGCCCCCGCCGCGCCGGAACGCGCCCGAGGGAAAAAGGGGCTTTCCATATCGACCTCGTCGAGGGATTCGAGGGCCCCGGCGCGCCGCTTTCCCGGGCTTGCGCCGCGCGCGGGGCGCCCGTCTCAGAGCGTTTTTCCTTAGGCGCGGACGGGGGGTCACCCGATTTCGCGCCGGGGCCCGAGGCGACCCGTAGCGGGAAGTGCCAGCTTCGGCAACCGGGGCGCCGACGGCGGAGGGCGAAGCGTCGCGGCGGCGGTCCCGCGATTGCAGCGGGGCGTCTGCAGCGTCGGCCCTTCCGCGGCGGGGCGGCGGTTGCAATGCGCCCGATTGGTGGATTTGGCTGCGAGTTGCCCGCCGTTGTCGCCGCGCTGCCGTCCGAGGGCGTCTTCCTCGCGAAGGCGTGGGCCTGCTGCTTCGGGGGCTCGCGGCATGTAGCTTCGTGGCGCGTGATGCTCGCGAGGTGGAGGTCTGCCCCGACGACCAGTGCAAGGCGTGCGCGGGGGCTGTCCTGGAAACGCTCGGCGAGTTCGGTCTTGTTGCGCTTCCCCCCAGCCCTGCGGGCGAGCGCCGCGGGTCGCCCGCGGCCCGGCGGCCGGCGCAGACCGGCTGCGACTGGGGCTCGCGCGCACAGAAGCCGCATTGGCGTTAGAGCGGACGTTGGACAAGGTCGGGCAAGGCCAGGGACAGGGCCACTTCCAGAGCTTGCTCGCGCAAGCCGACTATCGCGGCTCGGACGTGCGTCTGCTGACCCAGACTCTAGTCGAAGTGCCCTGGCGGCAGGTGCCGTTCCCAGCTCCGATATGGAAATGAGAGGTGGTACACAGGTACGCTTGGCGACGCGCCCAACGCATCAGCGGCTTGGAATTCATCGCAGCCCCGACTTGCGTCCCGGCGCGCGTGGCCAACCCAGACCGGCATGGATGACGGTTTTTCACGTATTCGACTCCTGCGTCGCATCTTGCGTGGCGGCTAAGGGTCGTTCGAGCGCGAGGGTGCTCAATCGGTCCCTTCGGCGGTTCGCGGAGGTGACTTTGGCAGCTGATTTGCACGTGTTGTGCGCGTGGACCATCGGTGGGTGGAACGCGTCGGACGCAGCCAGTAGGCTGCTGGAGGGAGCTCCGCTTGCCAGCGATGCCGCGTAGCAGGTGTGCAGTTCCAGGTTCACGCCAAGCGTGCATAAAGTACGCCAATATCCAGCCGTCTACTGTCATTCGCTACTGCCGTGCCGTTCGCCGTTTCTTCTGTGATTTGACCTGCCGTGGACTTTGTATACCAACCAGTTCTGAGAAGCTAGATGATGTCATTGGAAAGTACATCGGCCACCTGTATCAGGATAGTTGGCCGGAGTCGTGGGGCAACGATGTGGTGCGTGGTTTTAAGCGCCTCTAACCGCGGTCAATGCGAACATTCGATGCATCCGCATTTTACATGTCCATCTGGACTCGGTCGTCCCGTCGTCGCCGTGCGCTGCCGTTGTCCATAGGCCTCTGGCTGCAGTGGCGCTACTCTGGGGCTGGGATCGCACGGCGGCCGTTTTGCTGATCGGCTTCGCATGCTTGCTCCGGTCAGGCGAGGCCATCAGCATCGTCAGCGGCAATGCACCGTTCTAGGTGGGGGCGCCGCTTTTCGGTTAACGCTCCCAGACAGCAGCGGGGTGAAACGGCAGGGGCAGGTGGAACACGTCACGTTGTACGACCCGTTGTCAATCAAGTTCCTCATGCAAGTTTTGGCTCTTCTCGGGTACTTTGGCCCCCTTTTCCCAAGGTGGTTTCGCTGCCCACAAGCAGCATATCACTGATCTAGCTCATACTTTTGGGCTGCGGGGACCCAGCCTCGCGCCATACTGCCTCAGGCGCGGGGGTGTCACGTGGCATTTCGCAACACATGGCAGTTATGATGCCACCCGGGCTCAAGGTCGATGGGGGTTTTTGAAACCAGCCCGAGGGTGCATCGATCAAGCACTATGGTGTCCCTACCGGAACGTGGCTTCGAGCGACTTTAACGTACCCTCTGGTGCTCGTCTTCCGTGCTCCACCCTTCCTTGCTGTCCTTGGATGTGGCTGTGCCGCAGAGCTAGCTGGCTGCTCAATATATAGTGCTGGTAGCCCACGGGTCCTCTTAAAGGGCCCCTCGGCGGCTGGATCACCCGCCCCCTTGAAGGTAAGGGGGGTGGTCGTGTGCGTAGGGGGCTCTATTGAGGTCCTTCTAGGCTCACGCGGGCGGCCGTTGCCCACAGGGGCGCGGTGGAGGCTGGGGGCCTTTCCCCGCACTGGCCTAGCAGATGCTGTGACCAAAGCCTGCGGCCCAACGCGCGCGGCGCGGCGGCACGCGCACAAAGCCTCACGGGTGGAAGGAACACAGTACATGATGACGGATTTTGATCCGGATGTATGCTTTGTCCCCCGCAGCGGGAAGGCGGCACAGCCATATGCATCATGATAGCGATTGTGATAGCATGCAGTGTTTATGGATCCGCCTTTATTGTCATGGTTTCTTGAGGCCGTGACTATGGAGAGGCAATTGTTACCTCCGGTGGTGCGTACGGCACGGACGGCAGGCATACCGCGATGCCGGTACTTGCGAATGGCTTGCGCATCCTAAAGTGAGGTGCGGCAGGATGACCTGCAGTCTCGCAACAGCACACGCTTCACGGGTAGATGGGGAAAACATCATATGCTCGTGATTGTGATGTTGCTGCTGCTGCTGATGATGATGCTGCTCCTGATGCTGATGATGATGATGATGATGTTGATGATGATGATGATGATGATGGTGATGGTGGTGGTGATGGTGGTGATGGTGATTATGGTGGTGATGGTGATGTTGATGGTGATTATGATGGTGATGGTGATGTTGATGGTGGTGATGGTGATGGTGATGGTGATGGTGATGGTGGTGGTGGTGATGATGATGATGATGATGATGATGATGATGATGATGATGATGATGATGATGATGATGATGATGATGATGATGATGCTGATGATGATGATGATGATGATGATGATGATGATGATGATGATGATAACGCCCAGCGGTTAATATGATTATTGTTGTGGTTGGGATTGTGCACATCTGAGTTTATGATTCTTATGATACTGGTGGTGGTGATGCTGGTGGTGTTGATGCTGTGGTGGAGGAGGGGGATGATCAGGAGATGCAGGCGGCGGCTCTGGCGGAGCAGGGGGAGGAGAAGGTGGCGGATGATGAGGAGGAGAAGAAGGATGATGCCCAGATTTCACGGACGCCTCGTGGCAAGGGGCGGGTCTGGGTTTTTATGGGAGGGCGGGGGCCTTGGGATCCTCGTTTTTGGATGGTTTGAGCGTGCTGGTCAGCCCTGAGGCCTGGCCCTCGGAGGCGGAGATCCGACCTTACTCTGGGCCGATCGGATTCTTGGCCAGACGCGATCGGACTCCCATCGTTCAGAGATCCCGGGGGGGATGGGGGCCAGCGACCCCAACTGTCCGCACACACCGATCCTGTTTGGGCTCACCCTGGGGGGCCAGTGCTGGTGTATGCGTCTTCCTGATTATGGGCCAGGGGGGCATGTCCACCGATCCTAGGCCATGCATCGACCTGGTTAGGGCGCTTGTTGCCACCCAGAGAGTGTGGTCGACATGTTCCCGCCAGGCCAATGGCTCCCGCGAGCTGCTCACGCCGGCTCAGCGGCGGCGCGCCCAAGCGCTGTCACAGCGGGAGCCACACAACAAGCTCGCCGCAGAGATAGGCGCGCACCCTCCAGGAGGAAGGGAGAGGGACGACAAGGAGGAGGGAAAAGGCAGGAGAGAGGTCGTTGTCGTCGAACGGTGGCGTCAGCATAAATCTGTGCTCGACAACATCAGATTAGTTAGAAACTCTTTTTCAACTAGACATCGCAAGGATAACAGAGCATTGGATGGCAAGACACAAGTCATCGACAGGGAGCACGCCAGTCCTGGTGGTCCGCGTCGAGCAGGCCAACGCTCTCTCCCCGACGGGCTGGATGTGCAAAGGCCTGACATCGAGACGGGGAGGGCACGGGCGGCCGCCCCTGCGGCACGACGGGCAGCAGGGAGGACTCTGGACGAGAGGCTGCCCCTCCTCAACACCAAGAGTCCTCCGAATCATCGGAACGAGCACGCTCAGGATCGACACGAGAACGCTTCCCGTGCAAGCACGCCCTGGCAAAATCGGGAGACACTTCATGTTGAGCATCATCGTCCTCGGACGGTGAAATATAGAAATCCCACAAGCTGGGCACAACCTCATCCGAGTCTCGAACATCAGTCACTTCATAAGATCGCTCGAGTCCTTCAGCAATCTAGCTATGCTATCACAAATGCTTGCAGCGAGGACGTGACACAAGCCAGCAGGATAAGACTTCTTTGAGGCCGTCCTGAAGGTCCCCTGGGCCGTTATGCCAAGAAGATACTGGTGCCCCCCCCTTTCCGTGTGAGCATTTCCCAGCCCCAGAGGTTGCTCTCAACCTGTCATACAGGGGCGGCGTGCGGACTGACACAATATGAGTGGGAACGCGCCCACAAGACTTCGGGTCAGCATTTGGGCACTGATGTTCGCACTGGTCTAAGATTGTCGTGCGACTGCACGGAGAAACCGCGAGGGCGAGGAGAGGAGCCAACGGAAGGAGGTGGGGCTCTAGGGGCCCAGAGAGTGGGGACAGGGTGCTCTATCCAGGCCCCCGTGCCCTCCTGAAGGTGTTCCGCCATCAGACGAATTGTAGCAAGCAAAAACATGCTACCTACTCAAAGTTTTTCATTTTGACGAAACGTCGCCCATGGAACTCCCCAGGTCTATTCCGAAGACCGGAGGGGGGGGGAGGGCCTCCTTCATGCCACTTTGAAGCGGACCAGGTCTCACGGGGAGGTCCTCCCCCCGTGCTGATAACCCGACCAGCACGAGTGTGTTCAGCCCACCCCAGGATAGACCCCTCTCTGGTCAAGTCCTCTCTTACACCATCAAGTGCGATATCAAGGCTCAAGAGAAAAGGGCTCTACAGAAACCGTCGGCGTCTGCCGTTCTAGCTGCCACTGGAGGTTTCCAGCACACCGACGACCACTGGACAAATGCTATGCAACGTAGACTGGTCGCCGAATTCGTAGCGACACAGAGACATTCGCTGCACCAGCGAAGGCACCTGTACGAAAAGGGACGAACGACGCTTCCCTCTCAGGGGGCCCTGCTTCCGCTGGGGGTGCGAACTGCTAAAAACTTTCAGCACGACAGAGGCTGCATCTGGATTCATAGTCAGATTGTAGAATCGCCTCCTCAGCCTCCTCCGCCGAAACATGCTGCAACATATCCTGGACAACGTGTTGAGGTGCGCCGCGCTAAGTGTCGGGACATGCGTTCGCCATCTGCCTTATCCAAGTTTCAGCTGGAACCTACTCTAGGCCTCGTAGATGGGGTCGGAGAGGATGGGGTTGGAGGATCGCGCTGCGTCGCCGATGCATCGCTGATGCGGCTCGATGTGGAGCCCGACTTTCTTCGCGTCGACGTCGCCGAAGCACCGCCGACATCGATGATGCGTTGCCGGTGAATTGCCGATGCGTCGCCGACGCATTGACCATGCAATGCCAATGCGTCGGCGATCTGGCGCGATCCTCCGACCCCATCTACTCGGACCCCATATGTGAGGCCTCTACCCTCGCCGTTCAGACTCCGGTTGGTTCGAATATTCCATCGTTGCAGCAAGCTGTCCATCACCATGGGCAGGCGACTCAGCTGGAAAACACATCGGGCGCGCACCTGGGAGAGTCTAGAGACGCGTGCTTAGTGAGCGCAGTGCGATTCCCGAACTTCATGAAACGTGTCGGACAAGTAAGTGATGGCCCCAGGATGCGATCAATCCCATCGGTGCGATCATGATGTTCTTGAATGAAATGAAACCTAAGCCCGCGAGCCTTGCCTGGTACCTCCGAACACCATGGACATGCCCAGTGCTTATCATCGGCCCTCTCAGCCAAGCGGAGAGGATGAGCCGCATTGTCAATGGCGAAAGATATTCTGGAATCCTGCACCACAGCAGGAATCGCCTTTCGGCCGAAGCGGTGAGAGCTGAAAAGGGGGACGAAGCGGGCATGGGCGGCTAACGCATCCCGAGTATCGGCCTTCCAACCAGTGGCGGATCGCTTGATGTGAGCTTCCCTGGTTTCGAGGTCCTCGAGGGGTCGGGGAAGGAATGAAGAGCGGGGTGCTGCAATCTTGTCCAGCGCGCATCGTAAACAACCCGATGGCTCCGCGACCTCTGACATTCCTGACGACGCGCAGCTGCCATAGCAAATATTTGAGGGTCGCGCGTGCAGATTTCGTCCTAGCAGACGAATGCGACGCGCGCTTATCGTCGAGCCATCTTGGTGAAAGCCTGGTTTGCATCTTCGTCCTCCAGCGTTCTGGATTGAGCGTCCGCGACGCGTGCCCGGGCCCCAGACTGAAGCGACTTCCTCGGGCGCGCCGAGGAGTCCAGGAACGCCGTGCCCACAGACGCTCTCGATGGCGACCCGGCGGGGAACGCGAGAGTTGAGCTCGTTCCGAGCCCGCGCAGTCGACTGAGTGCGATGGGCCAGCTCGGGGCCCGGAGAATCGCAAACATCCTGCATGGTGCCTAAGTGAACGTATTGATGCGCCGCCTGAACTCCCGGGGCCCCGCCCGAAGCCGCGCGCGCTCGGAAGGCCCCCGCGGGCCCCCCCCGCGGCGCGCGCATAGCGGCCTTAGTCCCAGGGCCGCGAAACGGCAATATTGAGCAGTCTCACCAACTTTAGCTGTGGGGCGAAAGCCACGCGCAGCGAAAGCGTCGGCAACCTCGGCAACGAGGGGCGGCGCAGGCGTCGACGGTAGGCTTGCTCTGCCGAGAATGCATGCAACTGCGTCGCCAAAGAGGGCGCCGTCCAGATTCTTCTGCGAGGCACGATCAATATCCTGAACGCCTGCCTATGTTCGCGGCCGTCGGGCCCCTCGAGACGACGCCTAGCGGAATCAGTTTGTGTCGGGCCAGGTCCCTTGGATGCCATGGCCATGTTGAAAACCGCGTCCTCAAGCTGCTGCCCCAGGCCGGAGCCGAATTGGGGACAGGCCACATGTGGCGTTTTGCACAACAAAATCACGACTTGTCGTGCCTGTCGGCAACCTGAGCGCGCTGGTAGATGGGCCGCGCCAGGGGATCCAGAAGGAGTGTGCTTTCGAATGCAGTCGAAGCTCAGACATGGCCTCGGCGGGGGGGGCGCAGAAACAGTGCAAGTTTGCCGGGGGCTCGTCATCATTTGGCGTTTGTGCAACATTATTGCGAACCGATTTGTGGCATGCCTGGATGACGTCCACGAAAAGCAAAGTGCCCATGCCTTGCGCGCAGGAGCCAGGTATTGAAAAATATGCAGTTCCACTTCCGCCGAGCTCCGTGCCTCGACTAGGGATTCCCCCACATTGTCGTTCGCCTGCGAACGTGGTGAGTCTCTTGGCGACCTCCCGTCGAATCAAGGTGCGACGTCGCTGGCCTATCTGTGAGGATCCCAAGATTGACCTGCGACGCCGACCCCGATTGGAAGAGGGGCCGATCTAATCCCCCATTCCACTGGAAGGGCTCACGCGCTCGAGCCTTCGACTTGGGTGTGAGGGGATAAAAGTACCGGGCAAGCTTAATCGCGAACGACGGCGCCGCTTTGCTTGGGGCCCCGTCGGGGCCAGCAGCTGGGGCTTTTTTCCCCGGTGGCTCGTAGAGAGCTAAGAGGGTTGCAGATTGTGGCGCCGGAGCAGCAGGGTGGCCCAGTTGCCGGCGGGGCACCTTGGCGCAGGTTGCTGGAACTTGCCGCGTGTTCTTGCGGCCCTTTTCCACGCGTTTCTCTATGCGTCTGCCCGGGAGCGCTCCAGAAGCTATTTCGGATGCTCTTTCTAGGGGCTTCCAGGGCTTCTCCGAGAAGCCTTTGCGCGCCCTTCTGGCGCCCTGTTATGCGAGTTCTGGATTCCGCGAGCGCCGGGCATAACTCGCCCCCCTGAGGGCTAGGAGCGGCGGCCCCACAGCAGGAGTCGGCCCGCTATCCAGCCCCTCTGGAGGCGGCCGCGGCAGATGTTGCTAACGCCACGCGGCCAGCGCCGACGATCCTGGAGGCCTCGGCCCTCGGCCTAAGTGGGGGGGGGGGGGGCGCTCCCGACGCGCCCCGGGAGGGTGGTGTCCCGACCCGGGACCCACCCCCGGGGCCGCCCCCCGGGCCCCCCCCTTGGGGCCGCCCCCCGGCCCCCCCCCCCCTCCGCGGGGAAGGGGTCTGAGGGAAGGTGCCCCCCTTCGACTCCATGATGACGCTGCTGAAATTCGCTGTGGATGGGCTGGTGTATTTCGTTTTGGCTGGCGCGCTTGAGGGCGAGGGCCCCGGGGGAAAAAGGGGGCGGCGACGGGCTCGGGGGAAGGGGTTGCACGATGGCGGCGGCGACGCGACGGCCCCGGTGACGCGCCGACAGGGTCGGCGGATTCAGAAAACCAAGCCAAATCAGATGCAGGAGCGATAGGCGCAGCCTCGTCGATCCCGACATGGCCAACCCACCTGTTCGCAACCTTTGCGAAATTTCTGGGCAGCCCCCCGCCCCGACTCAATGGGGGGGGCAGCGGCCTGGCGAGAGCGCGCGCCCATGGCGCGCAGCTCGGCGAAAGCAACTTGGAAGTCCGCGCGAGACCACGCGCTGCCAGTCTCCGAAATCAGACGCCGCCAGCGACGTATGTAACTCCGGCCCCAATGCGCGCG